ATCTTAATCATTAATTTTTTTTATATATCATATATTTTTTAATAAAATATTCTAAGATCATATTTTAAAAACCAAATTAATGTCTCGTTTAGAGATTAAATATTTTAGTTAAAAAAATAAAAAATTATTATAGATTATCACATTACTATTTTTATTTTTTTATATATTTTTTCATAAAAAATTATTAAATAATTTATTTTCAAATGAGACAATGATAATTTTTCCAAATATTTAAAATTTTACAAAGGCCAAGTTTGGCCACTCTTAAAAAATTTAAAAAGTCAAAAAGTTACTATTCTATTTAAATCACATCATCTTATTTAAGTCACATCACCTCTCCTCGTGCCTCGTGCCTCGTGCCTCGTGCCTCGTGCCTCGTGCCTCGTGCCTCGTGCCTCGTGCCTCGTGCCTCGTGCCTCGTGCCTCGTGCCTCGTGCCTCGTGCCTCGTGCCTCGTGCCTCGTGCCTCGTGCCTCGTGCCTCGTGCCTCGTGCCTCGTGCCTCGTGCCTCGTGCCTCGTGCCTCGTGCCTCGTGCCTCGTGCCTCGTGCCTCGTGCCTCGTGCCTCGTGCCTCGTGCCTCGTGCCTCGTGCCTCGTGCCTCGTGCCTCGTGCCTCGTGCCTCGTGCCTCGTGCCTCGTGCCTCGTGCCTCGTGCCTCGTGCCTCGTGCCTCGTGCCTCGTGCCTCGTGCCTCGTGCCTCGTGCCTCGTGCTTAGGCTATAGGAGACCTTATCGCCTCAGTGCTCCTAGAGCCTTTTAAAACACTGGATAGGAAGAATGGTAATCTTGTTCTCTCTTTTTTAATCAGATAATAATATTTAGAAAATGGTAGTTAAAAGGCTTATGCCTTTTGTTATAAGGCTTTTGCTCATCTTTTAAAATGAAATAAAAATTATGGAATGCCTTGCCTTGAGCTTTTTGACTTGTAAACATTGGCTTTAATTGGGCCCTTAAGTGTAAATTTTTAATAGAGAATTTTTACCCTTTTGTTGATAATAGATTTGTTTTACTTAAATTCATTTCCGTCTATAAATGAGAGCAAGAAAAGAAAAAAATGAAAGCAAGAAAAGAAAAAAGGAAGGTTTATCTGTATTCAATGAAGGAGAAGAATACCTTAAGCTATCAAAGGATTACCCTGTCTGCTAGGCCACCACTACGATTGTGGAGCTTATCAAGAACCATACAGAAGGGTACAGTTGGCTGTAGGTGTTGAGAATTTGCTAAAAATGGAAAAATTACATTCCCTTTTTCAGTGATCTTTTTGAAAAGAGAACATTTTGGAAGCCTTTTACCAACTGAAATTTGGTCAATGGCATTTGCGTTAGCGGGTTTGAATGTTGTCTAGGTGTGTACACAGTGTGGTTGTAATACAAACAGACATCATCAACTCTATGTTTGGTAAGGTATGGAAAGTAGGGGGTTTATGGGGAAGGAGGATTGATGGAAGAAGAGAACCTAGGGAATAAATTGTCTTCCCTTGAATTATTCCCTAATTTTCATTAAAAGTAAGGAGACATTGAAGATCATTTCACATTTTTAAGAAGAGCAAGAGTTCTTTCCTTCCCTCACCCAATTAACTTAAGTTGAATCAATTTTTGTGGGCCTGGGTGGATTGCTCTTATCTTCTCTTTTCTCTTCCATTCCCTCATCCCTCCTACCAAATGAGGGTAAGTGTCCCTCCTCACCTCCTTTTCTTTTCCCATCTTTCCCCCATACCAAACATAGCATAAATGATTACACAAGTTCAAAGGAAGTTATATTGGTCCCTTGGTAAGTTGCAGCAAATGTTTTTGGACTCCATTTAATGGAAAATCATACTTCCCTTTGATTTACTTAAAGAGCTATTTTACATGGCAACAACATAGTTAATCAGAGATTAATATTGATCAAGGTGTTTTGTTCTGCAACCTACCAACATTTATTTGTCCAATTAGAAATAGACTAATATAGAAATGCCCTTGTACTAGTTGTAATCACTGAAGAGGAAGATGTCACTGATATAAAATCCCTGTAAAAAGAAAGTGGAAGGACTTCCTTAATCAATTAGTGCTTTTTTCGAATATTCCTATGCATTAAAATTATACTTCTTGCATGTTGACACTCAAAAGCTTATGGTTTTGAAATTACTAATAATAAGAACTTGACTGCAGGAGTTGCATTCTAACATTGATACTCATAGGTATGCCACTGAAGATAAAAGCAAACGGCGTGGCACATTTAACTCTTAAACCACTTAAATGCATTAAATTTCAAAAGAGGGTGTTTATCATAATTCTTTGGCAATGCATGTCATAGCTTTTTTTGTTTTTGTTTTTGTTTGTTTTTTTTTTTGAAAGTAGAGGAGGGCCACCTAGAACTAAATAATTATTCCTAACAAACATAATTGGTAATTGATGAAAAATTAGGATCTTTGGGTGACTCCGTAGTGTGTAACATGGTTTTATTTATTTATTTATTTATTTTAATTTTTTACTTTGAAGGGGAAGGGGCAGCCCTGGCAGACAAAAGCAGAGACATCTTCCTATTTTTACTTGTATCCCTGTAGGTAGTTGGAATGAATAAAATTCAGGCTTAGAAAACTTGTAATTGAGAGGATCTAATATCACCTGATCCTGTTGGTTCTTAGCTTGCATTATTCTCCACGTGGTGACATTTTAATGTTCTCGATAATGTTTCAACGTCATACCAGATCAAGAAAATGGCAACAATATTTATGAGCGACCATTTCTCAAAATATTTTATCTACTTTTGTTGGTTACTAAATTTGTTTCTTGGGAAATTATTAATCAGACAACTGATGATTTTTACAGTCTTCAATGTTATATAGAGTTCCTGATCGATCTTTTATTAGTGCCACAAATTATTACTATGTTTCCAACTTTTCAATGGAAAGAATTGGGGGTTTAGTACTGTTTGTTTTATATGGTAGTGAGGTCTGAGGGGCATTTTGCTCAACACACTTTTTTTTTTGGGTTCCTTTTTCCAATTGTTTTCTTGAGTTTGTTTTACCATTTTTTAGATGTACCAACTTAAATTTGTAGGTAGTAATTTTATTTAGATATAATATTTATATTAATATCATAGAAGATTCTGGTTAACCCGAGTAAGTGGAGTTTTTTTAGTATTCTATACTGATATTTATTATTATCGTCTTTTTATTTTTTTAATTTTTTTCCTTAATGTGGTTCTTGTGTCAAACTTATTGTACTCTTTTTTGGATAAGTTTCCACAAAATGTAATGTCAATAACAAATTTTAAATATACAGATTATCAGCAGGTTAGAAGTTTAAGCCGGAAGATGACGATGGAACCTGCTGTAATTCTTGAGGAAGAGACATTTGCTCTCATCTTAGTGGAAGCAGGAGTAGACAGGGTACAAATTCTTGTGAAATCTCCGGGTTTTTTTATGTAATGTGCTACGCATGGATATATATATATATATATATATTAACTATGCATCATTATTATTGTTATATTTTTTTACTGAAAGTCAATGATTTGTAACTTGTTGGCTTATGAATTCATAATCCGAGTTTTTCTTCGTCTCGGCCTCATATTAATGAATTCTCTGACCCTCAAATATGAATAAATGCATAATTGAGCTTCTATTATTATCATCTCTGTTGAACCATGAGATTTGAGATTTATCTGTCGAAACTTTCTTTCTGATGAGAAAATTTGACTCCCAACATGATTTCTCATAGGGTTAGGAGATAAGTGTAGCTCTGTTGAACGCTAGAGATGTCTGTTGTTGGATTCATTGTTAGTTGGAAAGTTGTAGCAATAGAGACATGGTGCAGAGGAACTTTCATCTTTCAAACTGTGAAAGCTTAAGTGTTGATTGAATAATTTGAACATATCTGTTTTATATGTGTCTTGAGTAATTCAACTCTCTTTCTTGTCTTAGAAAATGAACATACGAAAAGCACCTTCTCCTTTTACTTGGAAAAAGAACAGGTTATTGCAGTCAGGCTCCATGATGGAAATTGCTTGGTTGAGCTTTTGTATTCTTCATGATTGTTTCAAAGGTGAAAATATGTTGTGTTGGATTGATAATTCTCATGACTATCATTTTTTAGGTTGTGTTTGGATTTTAAATTTGTGGGGGTAAACAGAAAAGGAGAAGGGCATAAAAGAAATGGAGTAATAACATGTTTGGTTGTATTTTCATTTTCTATTTTCATTTTTTGGAAAACAAGAAAATTTATTTGGCGTACCATTTTGAAAAAAAAAAAACTATTATTCATGATTTTTTTTTTATTTTTGGAAATAAATTGTTTTTTATGAAACACCAAAAAGTAATTTTCAAAATTTTCTTTTTGCACAAAAGTGAACAATTCAACCACCATGGGTGCTTTAGAACTTTTTTATTGTTTTTGGAAATGCAAACACAACATTTTTTTCTCTTTTTTGTTTCATTTTTTTTTTTCTCTACAAATTTAAGATCTAAATACAATATTGTGGCTTGGCATGCTGGTAAAGCTTGCAGTTAGCGGCCTTGGTAGTGTGGGTTTGAGTCGTAGATATAACCTCCTTATAAATAGAGGTAAGGTTACATACATGTTGCTTTTTTCGGAACCTACGTTATAAAGAGACTTGTATATTGAATTGCCTCTTCAAATTTATTTTTCAAAATAACCTCAAATTTTCAAAAAATAGTAAAATGATTCTTTCAGAATATGGAGTACCATGTTCATTCTCTGTCATAATATGGAGTTCCAGGGTTTACATGTATAATAGAAAACAACATTCATGACAGTGTCCAAAACAAGCACCAAAGAGTACATAGAAACCAACATAGGGCCTTCCCACAATCTCATCCCTCTACATACCCTAAACTCAAACAGACACTCAACTAACCTAAAACCCACATTGCTCAACAGAGTCATGACTAGGGCTGTTTGGCCCCTCCCTTTCATTATACTCCTAGCCTTCATCAATGACTCTAACCCAAAACACTCTAAATGCATGAAGTATGATGATGTTGTTGTGCATGTACTACAAATGTACCAAGCTTCAGAGGATGCCTTCTACATTGGGCAGAAGAAGATGAAAATACACAGCAGCGACATCAAGCTGATTTTCGGTGTGGACTGTGGCAGCAAGCCAATGGACATAACATACGGTGCGAAACCAAAGACTGGCATTGTAAATAGAGGATGCAAAAACGTCAGCCGGTTGACTTCAAAATGGATACAAACCCTTTTGACCGAGGCATTGAAAGGAAAAAAGAAAGATGACAACGAAGAAGTTGCCCGACTAGTGTGCATGTATGCTTGCCAGAAGCTTTTTTTCTCAACAAGCGGAGAGACAATAGGATGGGGCTACTACGCACATATGGTCCCACTGGAAAGCATGCAACAATATGATTGGGCGAAGCAAATTAGGACAATGTTGACATCGTCTATTTCCCAAAATGACAAAAATCCAGCAAAAGTCACCGGCTGTGTCATGTTATTGATGGTAAGTACCCATGTTTTCCAATAATAAGATTGAAATGTCCTCCAGTGTTTTTCATCTAAGCCAACTGTCAACATTGGCATCTGCACCTCTGATGTGAATGTCCATATGCAATTGTATTTCACATATGTGAATGTTCACATCTGAACCACTGATGTGACTGATCACATTCACTCATAACATACTACTGTGCATGTTCACAACAGTGCCACAGCACTTATGTTTCTGTCATCATTCACATCAGTGATTCAAATGTGAACAGTGTGAATGTTCACATTCAATGATAATGTACTACTGGGATGTTCACAACAATGCCACTGTGATTAATGTTCACATAGGTTGCCATTACTCTGCAAATGCTAAATAACAATATGCGTTTCTTGTTTTATTGAAGTACTGGTTGTGTGAGCACACAACCATCCTCCAACCTCACAGACCCAATGCTTTTCCTCGCTGTGTGAAGTGGGATCTGACTGCTTTGCAGAAGAAGATGAAAACCATCTCCTTAGCAGATTTGGGTTTTAATGAGGTAGGGCCTTCAACTAGTGATCAAAACATTCACATTATAACACCATTATTGGTGTTCTTGTTCTACGCTGTCAACATTCACATTTCCTGGAAATTTTAGGAGAGTCAGATGTTGGTGGTGTTAATGTTTTACTATGTGAACATTCACATTGCATGAATTTGTTACTTCAATCAGATATTTTTGGTGCTTTTGATGTAGGATGTGAACATTCTCATTGTCTGAAAAATTTTAGTTGAGTCAGCTATTATTGGTGCTGTTGTTCTATGCTGTGCACATTCAAATTGCTTGAAAATTTTAAGAGAGTCAGATTTTATTTGTGCTGTTGGTATATGCTGTGAACATTCACATTCCCTGACGATTTTAGGACAATCAGATATTATTGGTCCTGCTCCTATGTGAATGTTCACAACCAGACACAAACTCTGGTGATTCACACCAACGCACACAACTGTGAACATGCACACCAGTGGAATAGTGTGAATGTTCACATCTGTTCGACTATGCTAATCATATGAGCCTTCACTTATTTTTTTTTAAATGCTCCATTTTGCAGACGTCGCACACAAGAAAACCGGAAAGAGAAAAAGAGATGAGTCCCATGCGAAGGAAGAAACCCCAAAAACAAATACTTGCACCAATGTCGACAAGCGCCATGTGAACTACAGATCTAATATGACAGGACTGGTCAAATTAATGAAAACCACCAAGTTCACAGAAGCACAGCTTCGCTGCCTTCGACAAACCCCTTTTTGGAATTTGTTTGATGCATTGAGAAACAATCAAATCGACCTGGATAAATGCATGAAGTATGATGATGTTGTTGTGCATGTACTACAAATGTACCAAGCTTCAGAAGATGCCTTCTACATTGGGCAGAAGAAGATGAAAATACACAACAGCGACATCAAGCTGATTTTCGGTGTGGACTGTGGCAGCAAGCCAATGGACATAACATACGGTGCGAAACCAAAGACTGGCATTGTAAACAGAAGATGCAAAAACGTAAGCCGGTTGACTTCAAAATGGATACAAACCCTTTTGACCGAGGCATTGAAAGGAAAAAAGAAAGATGACAACGAAGAAGTTGCCCGACTAGTGTGCATGTATGCTTGCCAGAAGCTTTTTTTCTCAACAAGCGGAGAGACAATAGGATGGGGCTACTACGCACATATGGTCCCACTGGAAAGCATGCAAGAATATGATTGGGCCAAGCAAATTAGGACAATGTTGACATCGTCTATTTCCCAAAATGACAAAAATCCAGCAAAAGTCACCGGCTGTGTCATGTTATTGACGGTAAGTACCCATGTTTTCCAATAATAAGATTGAAATGTCCTCCAGTGTTTTTCATCTAAATCAACTGTCAACATTGGCATCTGCACCTCTGATGTGAATGTCCATAGGCAATTGTATTTCACATATGTGAATGTTCACATCTGAACCACTGATCTGACCGATCACATCCACTCATAACATACTACTGTGCATGTTCACAACAGTGCCAAAGCACTTATGTTTCTGTCATCATTCACATCAGTGATTCAAATGTGAACAGTGTGAATGTTCACATTCAATGATAATGTACCACTCTGAATGTTTACCACACTGCTCTGTAGGCAATTATGTTTTCACTACTGTGAATGTTCACATCTGAAGCAGTTAATGTGACTGATCACATTGACTCATAACATAACTCTGTGAATGTTCACAACAGTGCCACATCGTTCACGATTCGCAGATGTGAATGTTCACATTCAATGATAATGTGCTACTGGGATGTTCACAACAATGCCACTGTGATTAATGTTCACATAGGTTGCCATTACTCTGCAAATGCTAAATAACAATATGCGTTTCTTGTTTTATTGAAGTACTGGTTGTGTGAGCACACAACCATCCTCCAACCTCACAGACCCAATGCTTTTTCTCGCTGTGTGAAGTGGGATCTGACTGCTTTGCAGAAGAAGATGAAAACCACCTCCTTAGCAGATTTGGGTTTTAATGAGGTAGGGCCTTCAACTAGTAATCCAAACATTCACATTATAACACCACCCAAATATATGCGTTAATTAACATAATTTTTTCATTTCTAGGTTAATGCCGGTGAACTCTTTGTAATCCCAACAGAATTACAAAAGTTCAAGCGTAAAACATTGAAGGTGGAGCCTGAAATTTATGAACCAGGCAGAAAATGTCCCAACATTTCTGACATCAAGGGAGAACAACACAGTGGCAGCAGCTCCCACTTTTCTGGGGATGGGGTAGACCTGAAGGACAGTGATGAGGACATTCACATTCCATTTACCAGCCAACATTATGACAGAGCTATTGTAATACCAGACACAAACCAACCTGATATCATTGATGTCCTTATCCAAGAAAATCGGAAGGCTTGGGGCGTCATAAGGCAATGGGAAGCAAAGTACAAACACCTTCAATTTTCATGGGAGTTGAGGGCAAGAGTCATAGTTGATCTTGAGAATAAATTGTTTAACCAGTCCATCCTGCCCAACGTGAATATCGAAATGAAGAAGTGCATGGAGCAGAAGGATAAAGATATCAAACGCTTAACGCAGCTGGTTATCGACTTAGAATGCGATAAAATAATTCTTCAGGATCTTTACGATGACCAGTCAGTCCACATTGTCACACAAGCTATGTCAGAAAGGCAACCCCCTAGCCCAATGCAACACAATATCAGCCCACCTTCTAGGGTCAAGTGTATAAAGGAAAAAGATCGCAAAGAACATTGCTTGCCTGACTTCCAGTACCCAGACTTACCTGGCCAAAAGCAGCCCCATCCAGTCGAAATTGTTGAAGATGTGGAGGAACATCCACCAGCGAAGCAGCCAAAAAAATTATCCTTTACCAACAAGTTCAAAGTTTGGGCCAAGATGTCCAAACATGACAAACAGAAGGTCCAAGCTTTACAAAAAAATGGAGGCGATGAGTAAGTGACTGTGGAAACATACAATGTTAACATTCACATTCCGTAATAGTCTATATTTCTAACTGTGTTCAGTTTTTTTGGGTTGTTGAGATATATGCAATGTGAATATTTACATTGGTTTGTTAATAATGCACAAGCTGCTGGTGTGGAAAGGAGATTCGAAGGCTACACATGTGTATTTTGATGACATTGTCAACCTTATCAAGGAGGAATCAATACACAGCAATGTATGCCATTACAAATATAATTCAGTCTTCATGCATATGCACACACAGACACACACACACTCACATCCACAAAATCTATATAATATGACCCCATGTTTGTGCAGCTCATAGATGCATATGCTGAACTGTTGCATGAACAACAAGAGGTGGTCAACCCAACTTCCGATGAAGCCTCATTGATCTTCACGAGCATGTGTTTGGTAAAATCGATCATTCCATTACTAGTAATGTGACTGTGAAACTTCACAGTCCATTAATTATTTGTCAAATGTGTACAGAAAGTGATACGAGAGTACCATCCTCGCAAAAGGAGTAAACACATTGACGCACATGTCAGAAACTACCAAGGAGAGAGATACCTACTATTCCCATTGCATCATGAGTACCACTGGACAATAGCTGTGTATGATGCTAAAGAAAATTTGTGGAAGCATTACAACTCGTGCCCAAGACCAGGCATACATGACCCGCATATCGACCAAGCACAGGAAATTGTAAGTGGCTATTTTTCAACACAAACATGACTTGTTCTCATGCATTAAATGACTGTACACACACATATGTTTGTTGGTCCCTAATGTGAAATTCCATACACAGAGGAACTACATCGAGCATGTTGTGACCGTTATTGGCAAGTCATCACCGCTGCACACTAAGTTAGCAGGCCAAAATCCAGCACAACCAACCAAAAGTGTTGATGTCTGTCCTCAACAAGGCGACGACTCGTAAGCCTCACTAAATTTTTTTTCAAATCCTCCACAACCATTATGCAAATATTCCTGTCAACTGCTAATCAAAACCATTTCACATTTACAGAGTGGACTGCGGACCTGCAGTATGTTACATCATGCGGGCGCACATATATCATGAAGAAATTGTGGGCAGCCTCAGTAGTGCAGAATGGTGTGGACTACGAGATTTGTTAGTGCATAGTTTTTTGAATCATAAGAAATCAGAGCTTCCTTAAAACCTATAGGTGGGGGGTGTCCACCTACGAACTAACCAACAGTCTATTTGAATGTTAATATGGAAAGCGTTGATATTTTGACACAGCAACTGATTGTAAAACAGTGATACAACATCTGTTAATAGGAAAAAGGCAGCTGCGAATTTTGAACTACTTTTGGTGTTGTTATGTTTTACATATGTGGATGTCCACAATTGTACCGCTAATGTGAATGTTTACAGTCACGTACGATATGCATACTGCTGTGTTGTTGTGAGAAAAATTTCTGCAAATGTTTGAACCTGACTGTTGTTAAGTACACATACTTTGTGCAGGAGTGTACACTTGGTCTACGTGACATCAGTATGGATCACATACACATGTGTGAACATTCACATTTGTGGTTGCTCATAGCAATTGTAAACACTGATGTGAACATTCACATCAGTGCATACTAATGTCAATGTTCACAGTACTTATAATTTCTCCATCACTCATTTGTCCATACTATGCATGTCAAACATTCACTTATGATATTCATATGCACTAATGTTTGACAGATGTGAATGTTCACAGTTGTAACACTGATGTGAATGTTCATACTTACTTATGATATTCATAATGCCGTGTTTTGATGAGCATATTTGATGCGATTTGTGGAACCAGTTTTCAATGTAACACACATACCTTGTGCAGGAATGTACACTTGGTCTACGTGACATCAGTATGGATGACATACACATGTGTGAACATTCACATTTGTGGTTGCTCATAGCAATTGTAAACACTGATGTGAATGTTCTCACTCACGTACGATATTCATAATGCCGTGTTGTGATGAGCATTCACTTATGATATTCAAATGCATATGCACTAATGTTTAGATTCACTTACGATATTCATATGCACTAACGTTTACAGCTATGACTGTTCACTGTTTCAACACTGATGTGAATGTTCATAATCACTTATGATATTCATAATGCCGTGTTTTGATGAGCATATTTGATGCGATTTGTGGAACTAGTTTTCAATGTAACACACATACCTTGTGCAGGAATGTACACATTGTTTGCATGACATCATTACGGGTAACATGAACAGGTGTGAATATTCACATTTCTTTACATTCATGACAGTTGTACATGTTCACACCATGTCAATCTTCATGAATGTGAAAGTTCACATGACATCTTGTATTCATGTCAACATTGACAACAATAAGGTAAAAACGTCCAACCCATGTGCAAGTTTTCACATAATATGATTCGTTTACGTAAGTGTGAATGTCCACATCATGTATTTATCATTACAACTTTAACAAAAAATCAGTTTCGTACAGGAAAAGAAAATGAAAAGGCACAAATGAATATAAGAATCCAATGTAAAACACAACGTTAAAATGAAAAATGTACATCCTATATCGGCTCCTTGCATGACTTCCGATTATGGCTCCCCAGTTTATCACATCTCCCGCACCTTATTTGCTTAAGTTTCTCACCCCTTGATGGGATCCTATTCTTTTTCGGCCTTCCGGGTGGTCTTTTCACAGTTGGCGGGTATATAGTGAAGTCCATGGGATCAAAAGACGGCTTCTCCACCAATGGTATAGGGAATATGGCACCCGAATATGCTCCACGATATGTCTGTACATGAAAGTAATGTTCCACACAATCATTAAGATTGTAACGGCTCTTCTGAATGGCAACAACAGCATGGTCACATGGGAATCCGTTAATTTGCCATTTGAAGCACGAACATGTACGCCTCGCAACATCAACAGTAACAGATGGTATCGAATGAACTTCAAACACATTCTCATTGGCTTTGCTAACTTGCCAAGACCTGCTGTGATTGAACGAATCCATAAGCCTTGCTTCAAATGTAGGACAAATAAGCTCATTCCATTTGTTTGCTTGGTCACGCCGTGCAGACATTTGCCGCATCAACTGAGTACGAATTGTGTCCACCATTTGAGTGATAGGAAGATTACGCGCTTCTTTAATCCAGTTATTAAATGACTCCGCCGCATTGGAAGTCATCTCCCCATAACGCATGCCCCTGCACAATATCACAAACATTTTACAACACGAAAGTTAACAGGTTTGAACACTCACGTTGACTGATGTGAACATTAACACCATTCGCAGTGAACATTAACATCAACTTACACGATGCACAGATGTGAACACTAACATCAACTTAAATGACAGAATGATGTGAATGTTAACAACAGCAAAATATGACAACTTGTTTGAACATTCACATCATTCAAATCAGTCATTACTATCAGATGTGAACATTCAGACCTGCAGTATGTTACATCATGCGGGCACACATATATCACGAAGAAATTATGGGTAGCCTCAGTAGTGCAGAATGGTGTGGACTACGAGATTTGTTAGTGCATAGTTTTTTGAATCATAAGAAATCAGAGCTTCCTTAAAACCTATAGGTGGGGGGTGTCCACCTACGAACTAACCAACAGTCGATTTGAATGTTAATATGGAATGCGTTGATATTTTGACACAGCAACTGATTGTAAAACAGTGATACAACATCTGTTAATAGGAAAAAGGCAGCTGCGAATTTTGAACTACTTTTGGTGTTGTTATGTTTTACATATGTGAATGTCCACAGTTGTTCCACTAATGTGAATGTTCACAGTCACGTACGATATGCATACTGATGTGTTGTTGTGAGAAAAATTTCTGCAAATGTTTGAACCTGACTGTTGTTTAGTACACATACTTTGTGCAGGAGTGTACACTTGGTCTACGTGACATAATTACGGATCACATACACATGTGTGAACATTCACATTTGTGGTTGCTCATAGCAATTGTAAACACTGATGTGAATGTTCACACTCACGTACGATATTCATAATGCCGTGTTGTGATTAGCATTCACTTATGATATTCAAATGCATATGCACTAATGTTTACAGCTATGACTGTTCACAGTTTCAACACTGATGTGAATGTTCACACTCACGTACGATATTCATAATGCCGTGTTGTGATTAGCATTCACTTATGATATTCAAATGCATATGCACTAATGTTTACAGCTATGACTGTTCACAGTTTCAACACTGATGTGAATGTTCACACTCACGTACGATATTCATAATGCCGTGTTGTGATTAGCATTCACTTATGATATTCAAATGCATATGCACTAATGTTTACAGCTATGACTGTTCACAGTTTCAACACTGATGTGAATGTTCACACTCACGTACGATATTCATAATGCCGTGTTGTGATGAGCATATTTGATGCGATTTGTGGAACCAGTTTTCAATGTAACACACATACCTTGCGCAGGAATGTACACTTGGTCTACGTGACATAATTACGGATCACATACACATGTGTGAACATTCACATTTGTGGTTGCTCATAGCAATTGTAAACACTGATGTGAATGTTCACACTCACGTACGATATTCATAATGCCGTGTTGTGATGAGCATATTTGATGCGATTTGTGGAACCAGTTTTCAATGTAACACACATACCTTGCGCAGGAATGTACACTTGGTCTACGTGACATAATTACGGATCACATACACATGTGTGAACATTCACATTTGTGGTTGCTCATAGCAATTGTAAACACTGATGTGAATGTTCACACTCACGTACGATATTCATAATGCCGTGTTGTGATGAGCATTCACTTATGATATTCAAATGCATATGCACTAATGTTTACAGCTATGACTGTTCACAGTTTCAACACTGATGTGAATGTTCACACTCACGTACGATATTCATAATGCCGTGTTGTGATGAGCATTCACTTATCATATTCAAATGCATATGCACTAATGTTTACAGCTATGACTGTTCACAGTTTCAACACTGATGTGAATGTTCACACTCACGTACGATATTCATAATGCCGTGTTGTGATGAGCATTCACTTATCATATTCAAATGCATATGCACTAATGTTTACATTCACTTACGATATTCATATGCACTAATGTTTACATTCACTTACGATATTCATATGCACTAATGTTTACATTCACTTACGATATTCATATGCACTAATGTTTACATTCACTTACGATATTCATATGCACTAATGTTTACATTCACTTACGATATTCATATGCACTAATGTTTACATTCACTTACGATATTCATATGCACTAATGTTTACAGCTATGACTGTTCACAGTTTCAACACTGATGTGAATGTTCATAATCACTTATGATATTCATAATGCCGTGTTGTGATGAGCATATTTGATGCGATTTGTGGAACCAGTTTTCAATGTAACACACATACCTTGTGCAGGAATGTACACTTGGTCTACGTGACATAATTACAGATCACATACACGTGTGAATATTCACATTTGCACTAATGTTTACAGCTATGACTGTTCACAGTTTCAACACTGATGTGAATGTTCACACTCACGTACGATATTCATAATGCCGTGTTTTGATGAGCATATTTGATGCGATTTGTGGAACCAGTTTTCAATGTAACACACATACCTTGTGCAGGAATGTACACATTGTTTACATGACATCATTACGGGTAACATGAACAGGTGTGAATATTCACATTTCTTTACATTCATAACAGTTGTACATGTTCACACCATGTCAATCTTCATGACTGTGAAAGTTCACATCACATCTTATATTCATGTCAACATTGACAACAATAAGGTAAAAACGTCCAACCCATGTGCAAGTTTTCACATAATATGATTCATTTACGTAAGTGTGAATGTCCACATCATGTATTTATC